TTGGGTAGACGGCAAAACTTTCAGTTTTATTCAATACAGATTGGACAGTGACCAAAAAAAAAAAAAAAAAAGTTCGCTGCTTCAATATTAGAGATTTTGCAGAGAAAGGGGAGAACCTCCCAACCTCCGTACTGTATAATGTATTGGGGAAAAAAAAAAAAAAAAAAAAAAAAAAAAATTATGACTATTCGATTACTCTCCTTTTATTTAAGCCATTCTGAATATTATTCCTTAGAAAGCTAATTTGTGTAAAAATACACCCATTTTTCGAAGTTTATCGAAACTTCAGCAGCTACTGCAACTATATTATTATAAATATTCATACATATGCTCATAATATAAGCATAACGATCATAATAAACACGAATATGAACTGACCACGCGGAACGAGAATGTAAATTATTAAAATCTTGATAGAAATTTAAAAGTGTGTAGTATTTGGGTGGGAGGAAAAGAATACCGAATGCACTGGAATTTTCTACGGTTTTCGCAATTCTTTGACCAATAGAACGACGTGCACCTGTCTGTACTCTCACGCACACCATAGGTTACGTTAATGCAGAGAAAGGGAGAAAAGCTATTTCTGGGAGTATGATTCACCATCTGACTTTCCATTATAAGGAAGAAATGTTGTTTATATAGTTTCAGCTTTTGGTACGGAGAAAATGCACGTTCATTAACAAAAAGCACTAAAAGCAAAAAATAAGCACTAAAAACAAAAAAATAAGGGCTTTAAAGAAAAAGTAAGCACCTATAAGAGCCCTTATATTTTATTTTCAAATATAAGAACTTATAAGCACTTGTAAGGACCACTATGAACCCTGTACTTGTATGCCAAAATAATAATTTAGCAGATCATATTTCTGCTTGCAATTTCTTACCTAAACACCATGGAACAAAGTTTTTCTCTCAAATAACTCATCACTAGTGATGAAAAGTATAATCTGCATAGCAACATTATTTGAAAATGATTACAATTAAAATAGGGTAAACAAGCACAGAAAATTAAATAGAAAGTCATACTGTGTACTTCTTGCAAATGGATTATGTCATAAATTACAAGTCATTGCCACCAAATTCCATAAAGTATTACTCACAGATGGCCAAACTACAGGAAACAACAGACAGAAAAATAATATTTTGGGGGTGAGTGGGAGGAGAAGACTTTGCAAAAATTGTTGCAATTGGTTGGGATGTTTTTAATGCATCTGCCATATTGCTTAGGTTTCTGATTATCATCTGTTTACAGCTTTCCAGAATGGATTACCAGATTTACCAGATTTGAAAATCTGCAAAAACCAATCAGATAAGTTTTTGCTAATGAGTCCTTAAGAATTCTATGAAAGAGGAAACTTTCAGTTTACAGAACAAAACAGCATGAACCTGTTTCTGAATTTCCAAATAAATGATTATTTATTTAAAAAAAGGGGGGGGGGCAAATACAATACAAAGTGCAAGATCTGGAATCAAGAGAACTTTTAGTCTAGATTTTGGAAAGTACAGGATTTTAGATTAGTTTAAGTCTAGTAAGATGACATGGAGACATAACAACATCAAAGTCAAACAAAAGAATGTTTATTCCCTGCTGTGGCACCAGGTGGCAAAAATTTATAATTTAGAGGAACACTGAACAGCAAAAATAAAGGATGGCAAAATTTTTAGAATTTCAGAGAGACCCTGGGATGCAAAGGCACTAAGCAGAAAAATACGTAGTGCCTTTCCCCAACCATTCATGTGCTAGAAGTGTCATCCTGGTCAATATCAGTACACCATCAGTTAATCTATTTATTATTGACTTCCTATCCAATGTGAAAATGGCATGCAAGGAGTTGGAGGAAAAAAACCGCATTTATGAGAAATCAACTCCCTTTTGTTGGGTATATTCTCCATTTCTAGATTTTATAATTGGGAATTTTAAATTATATTTTATTTTTTTGGCTGGAGTGGAGGCACAGATATTAGATCATTCCAGATATTGAGCGTCCTGATTTCAGACTTAGTACAGTATATGTTACAACATGATATTTCTTGAAAACCTATACAGATAGAAGAAAATGGTACAAATGCAATATACATCTAATTATATTTTGATTACTCACAAAAAATCTCAATATGCAACTTAACATTAAGTACGAGGGCTATCCAGAAAGTAGATTACGTTTTGGAATAAAAAAAATAAACAAAGTATAGGAAACAAATTTTATTATATACAGATACAAAATTTTATCCACACTCAAATACTACTTTTCTACATAGTCACCATACAAATTAAGGCATTTATCGTAGCGATGTACGAGCTTGGAAATTCCTTCGTCGAAAAATTCGGCCGCCTGCGCCTTCAACCACTTCGTTACCTCTTCTTGCCTTCCATCTTGCACAAAACTTGTGGTAACCAAGCTTTTCGCTGATGATTTCGTGCAACAAACTTCGCGAAATTTGTGGAAAACTCAAAGAAAGTTCCGTTATTGTGAAATTTCGATTTTCACGGACTTTAGCATTGACTTTTTCGAGAAGTTCGGCGGTCACTATGCTGGGTCTCCCACTTCGATCTTCGTCGTGAACATTGGTTCGGCCATTTTGAAATCTTATGACCCACTGACGCACTCCACCTTCAGTGATAATGTTGTCCCCATACACTTCACGAAGCTGCCGATAGATTTCTATCGGTTTACAGTTTTTTGCAGTCAGAAACCTTATTACTGAGTACACCTCGCAGCTCGCAGGATTTTCAATTAACGCAGACATTTCAAACCGTCACAGTATCTGAACGGAGCACAGCACGAACCTCTCACTAGCACGGCTAGATGCAGACTGAGCTGCGCAACGCTCTGACCCCAAGATGGCCGCGCTAGCCCCGCCCCTAGCGGACACAGACGGAAACGTAATCTACTTCCTGGATGGCCCTCGTATTATGTTACTTAATTTTTTTTTTTTAATTTAATGTTGCACACACAATCCTCATTAGCATAGGATTTTATCAAATTCATCAAAGCAAGCAGTTAGTTACAAAAAATTAAATTACGTAGTTAAATATCCTTATTCATAATAAATTTATATATATTTTTTATTTCTAAAAAATATTTATTAAAAACACTAAGAACATTTTACAGCAGTTATAATTAATGATATTGATTCTAAAATGATATTAGTATAATTATACATTAAAAGATACAAAATATTTATACGCTCTCTTGAAAAATTTCCAGATATTTTAGCTTATATCAATTTCCTATTTTTAGCATCTTTTCTAAGTTTACTTGTTTCAATAAATGAATCAATTTTCCTATTTGACAAATGTGCCATTAGTCTTTGTTTCATTTCCTAATTTATTAATATTTCAACAATGTACATCTGTAAACTTCTCTCTTTTATAAAATCAATTTCTTCAATGAGTTTCCTCTTCATTTTATAATTTTTAGATATAATTAAAGATTTCTGTTATCCTGAAGAACTGCTTATACTTAGAATGTGTAGAAGGAACTGTTAATTTCTTCAATAATATAAATACTGAGAATAAATATGAAATGATATAAGGTCAGGGTCAGTGCTAGAGCCAGTGTGGCAGAATTTTTAGAATTTAGTGAAGCACTTAGCAACAAAATCTAGGGATGGCAAAATTTTCAGACTGTGGGACAGACACTGAGGTATGTGTGATGCACTGAGACATATAAGATGAATCTTTAAATAAATAATTGGTTTACAATTTTCTTTGCTTGCATCAATGACTGAGTGTAGTGGAAAATAAAGAGAAGATAAACATGTTAAGAGAAAGACTTCTGGAATCAAAAGGAGAAAATTTAAATAATTTTGTTTTCACTGCTCTTCCAAAAATTCTTCAAAAGATATGAAATTCGTCACAAATTTTCCTTGAAACACGTCCATTATGTGTTACTACCACAAAGACATTTTTCTGGAATTGCAGATCTATAAATCTTGCCTTTAAATCCTTCTACATCTTTTAAAATGCTAGGTCCCTACAAACTTTGTAAGAGCTTAAAGCTAGAAGACTTTTAAGGAGGAAGAAGTAAAAAAGGTCAAAAACTCTTATTATGAAAAAATGTAAAAGAAGACAATTGAAATTCATTTTAAAATGATTACACTCGCTTTTTTGGTTTTATTCTAAAAAGTGATTCAGAAACTGCGCTTTATATTCACACATTTATTTTATTATTATTATTATTTTATTTGTCTCGCTAATAACCCATAGTCCCATAATACGTTACGGGACCATTATGTCTCCATGAGAGAATAAAAATGTTTTACTTAACGTTATTTGTTGACGATAATTTTAATATATTATTTTTATATTTCTCAATGTTTGGGAAAAAAATTTCACAACTCTCTGAGTAAAAATTTTTGTATACAAACTGATACTGAAATCGCCACATTGTTGATGAGTTGACAAATTTAGCACCACATAATGAAAGAACTCACATTTAAAAAAGAAAAAAAAAAAATTTTGGTGCGATATTATTTTATGAATTCTGAACAAAAAGGAAATAATTTTGAAATGTTTATGCTTAAATCAAGGCAACGCCTCATACCTAAAACTCTATCCACCATTAAATAATAGTAAAGAATTCAAACATTAACTTATAAAATACGTATTTGTCAATGCATCCCCCCCAAAAAAAATATTCCTCCAAAATGTAATTCACACTCAAATTGGGGATAATAATAATAATAATAATAAAATAAAAAAATAAAAAAATTCAAGAACCAAAAATTGTTTCCAAAAAAACTATGGACTTTAAATACCACATGAACCCTGTTCACTCACAGTGTTAAGCAACTAACGGAACAGACTACAATACTTTAACCAAAATTAAATTTTAAAGTTTCTACTGAAATTTTACATTTTTGTGTACTTACATAAATATTATTTACTTAAATACTATCGTACTTACATAAATATGAAAAATAATTAATCATATTGTTGTTGCAGCATAATTCAACACATTACAAAATTTTAAAATGAAATAAGGAGATTAGTAACTTACAAATTTTGGTGTCAGATATCACAAAAGTATGAGATCCTTGGAAAGGTAACCTTTTCAAGTATGGCCTTGTTCAGAAATTTATTTGACAACTCTCTGGGAGGAAGAGTGATTAAGTATTTAAAAATTACAGATAAAACATTATTTCAATTTACACACATACACATATATATTTAAATTTAGGCATCTTGTTCCAACAATAAAAAAACAATAGCTGCAGATGTTATTTTAAAAACTATTTGACATTTATGAAATAGAGTCAATATCATCTTCTAGGATGTATAATACTTTTTTACATTAGTATAGTTTTCCATTCTAAGCCGTTAAATAAAATCACAGCAAACAATTAGGGAAATGCTCCCTGTGTAAAATCCAGGGCTGTGGAGTTGGAATCGGGCAGATTTTGGGGTAAAAGGAGTCGGAGCTGGAGTCGCTAAAAAAGATCGACTCTGACTACAGTTTTTGTTGGACAGTTTGAATTTGAAATGAAATTAAAATGAATTGAAAAAAATAATGACAAGCTGAGCTATTATTTTTATTTATGGACTATATTTATTAATAGTTATTTTCTATTTTATTGACATATTAATTAATAAATACAGGGGAGGAGAATGGATGTGATATTTGCCATTAATGATTAAACTGATTTATTTAGTTTCAAATCTCACTGGTAAATTTAGGTAAGCAACAATGGCAGCAAGATCTCCCAAAATTGATGCCAAAATTGAAGCGAGCAGGAAAAGAAGCAATTATGGATCAAGCAATGCAATAAGGAAGTACATTTTTGATAATAAAGAGGTTGTTAGAATTACGAACTTTTTCAGAAGATGTAGATAACCCTAATGTTTCACTAACAGAAAGGTTGTGGAATGATCTTGCAGAATTGAAAACTCTTCTTTCTACACCCCATACAGCCACAAAAAAGCTGCAATCTGAAGAATTGACAGGAAGCGAGAATGGAAGAATGTGATGTTTGTTCTTTCTGAAATAGAGTGTTTATTGCAGAAGGAATCATTTCTTCAATGAAGACTCACAAAGAAAAGAAAAACTAGTTTGCTAGATGATGAGATCTTGCTGAGTTCAATATATGTAGATCCGAAACATCGAATTTTCTTGGATGACAAACAAATTAAAAAGGCAAAGAAAGTTATCTATGAACTTTCATTAAGGATGGAATTATTCTTAGAACAATTGGAGAGTTTGAATCAGGACAGCCAAACTGCAGACATTGCAACTGAGTCTCTATCATCCTCTGCCAGTGATGAATTAGATTTTGAGAAATATTTTTGGATAATATTGAAAAAGCTAAGGCATAGTGAATGAAAATAAAGAGCCAAGAGCCTTTAGATATAAAAATGAAAAGATACAAACAAGATTTCTACACGACCTTTGAAGAAATACAGAAATGTGACTGCGCTTGCAAGACACCTCTTTTAGAAATTATAAAAATATATCCTGAAAAGTTAAAAGAAGTAGCCCTAACAATAACAGCTCTTCCTCCTACCAGGTTGTTCAATAAGTTCGTGGAACGGAAATGAAGAAACCAATTTTTATTTGTAAAAATGACTTCATTTTTCAACGTAGTTTCAATGAACTTCAATATACTTATTCCAACGGTCTTCTAATTTATGGATCCCTTGACTGTAGTGGTTTTTCGGCAGCTCTGCAAAATATCCCTCCACGACAGCTATTACCTCTTCGTTTGAAGAAAATCGTTTTCTACAGAGATATTGCTTGAGGTGTGGGAAGAGCCAGAAGTCGGAGGGAGCTAAATCTGGCAAATAGGCTGGATGTTGCAACAATTCGTACTTCAATTTAGTTATTTTAGCAATGGTTTTTTGAGCTGTGTGTGCAGGTGCGTTATCTTGGTGGAAAATTATTTTCTTCTTCTGTAATCCGGGTCTTTTTTCACGAATTTTTTCATCTAATTGATTGAAAAGGTTACAATAATAATTCGAATTGTTTTGCCAGTTTGAAGGTAATCTATAAACAAAATTCCTTTCGCATCCCAAAAAGCTGATGCTAACACCTTCTTGGCTGATTTTTGCACACGAACTCTCTTCGGCGTCGAAGAGCCGGGTTCACACCACTCCTTAGCCTCCTGTTTTGATTCAGGATCATCATGATGGTAGACCCAAGTCTCATCCATTGTGATAAATTGACGGATAAAGTCGCTTTTATTCTTCTTAAAATGCTCCAAATGTTGCTGGCAAAGTCGCATCCGAATGTGTTTTTGCTCCATCGTTAGAGAATGCGGCACCCATTTTGCACAGAGTTTTTTGAAACCCAAATTAACACTCAAAATATTGCTCACTGTGCCCAATGAAATGCCTAAAGCCTCTGTTAAATCTCTTTCAGTCAATCGACGGTCTTCCAATACCATATCTTGTATTTTTCCGATGATTTCCGGTGTTGATGCAGTTTTTGGACGTCCCTCTCGCGGATCGTCTTCAAGGCTGGTACGACCACTTTTGAATAAACTAGCCCACTTGCAAACCATTGTTTTTGAAGGAGCAGATTCACCCAACACATTCACCATTTCGGTATGAATTTCCATTGCCTTTAAACCTTTCTTTACAAAGAATTTGATAACTGCACGTTGCTCAATTTTATCCATACCTGAAAAAAGGCACAACACGTTAGATATAAAGGGCGGTTAAACAATGAATAAATTAACAGATCGAAATGAAACTTTTGACGTGTACCTAAGAAAGAACAAATATGAAAATGGTGTCGAAGTTTCAGGTCTAATATTGATAGATGGCACTCCACAAACTTATTGAACAAACCTTTCAAGTAGTGGGAAGATCTTCTCAGCTCTAGTTTCAGTCGATCTGTGCCTCAACAAAAAAATCTTGCGAAGCTATATTTTTAGAATAATAATGCCAGTTTTTCCATTTCATAATAAAGCAAATATAATATTCCTAAGACATCATTCTCGCATCTATATCCATTTAATTAAAAATAAGCTGTAACCCCTGTGTATATGTTTTTATATATATACAAATTAAAGTAAATTAAGTAAAAAAAAAAAAAAAAAAAAAAAAAAAAACGATAAAAGACTATGTGGTCAAAAACTTTGTGCACTGTGCTGCAAAATTCAGAATAAGGTTAAAAGAAAATTCCTAGTTTGTACGCTAAAAAGCCACTTAAATACTGTGGTTCTGTGAAAACATTAACATAAACAAAATAAGTTGCAATGAAATGTGTTACAAGAGGAAAAAATACAACATTTGAATATTTAGAAGTAAAAATCAATACTAACAGTAAGCAATATGCTAATCAAATTAAGGTATATTTAAAACATTAGCAAAAGTACTAACAAATGATTTGAGCAAAAATATAAAAACTAAGAAGCGGTAAATGGTAGATTAGCCTAATTCAAATCTCATTATGGCTTTTAAGTGGAAATTATTTTTCAATGAATTTCGAATCAAGCTAACTCCATATCGTGTTTCGCGAAACGACAATTGAAACTGTACGAGAAACATTTTTTAATTATGAATAAACTTTGCCAATATTTTGTCTCAATTCTCTTCCAATTATATATATATATATATAAATATAAACATATACACATAGGTTACAGCTTATTATATATATATATGAGGGAGTCGAGTCGGTCATTTTCCCTACAGACTCCACAGCCCAGGTAAAATCTGTTACAAAAATTATTTGGAAACCCTTTTTACATAATTTTTGGACTCCAGAAATGGAACTGCCAAATTAAAATGTCAATAAGAAATTAGAAGAATTTTCTAGGTAATAAAAATAATTTCCAAATGTTAAGAATATACAGATTTTTTCTAAACAATGAAATAACACTAATTCTTAAATGTAAATTGTAAAAAATACTAAGATGTAATTTTTTGGCGTTTTTTAACCCACTAAATGACCACGAGTTTGTCCCCATACTCCAAAATTTCCCAAAAGTTCATGTTTAAGATGCATTTTCTTGATTATAATTCTAAAATGATCTTTTTTATTTGTACCTCGACCCTTTTTTCCAATATATATGCTACTTTATTTGACTGTGATGTTGTTAGAAATTCTGAGCGCTCAGGTAAAACTTAAGCATAAAATATTATAAATTATCAAAGCTGCACTGTATGCTGTGGAATTAATTAAATAACAAAAAATTAAATCAAAAACGAGGTTAACAGTCTAACAGGAAGAACATACATGAAAACTGAAATAAAAATTAAAAAAAAATTAAATAACAAAAAATAATATATAATGCAACAAATTGTTGAAAATTCTTTCTTTTTCTTTGGGGAGGGGGAGCAGATGAAGAACTTTCAAAAAGCCACACTTCTGACTTATATACGCATGATTATTAATTCAAAAGTGGAAAAAAAAAAAAAAAAAAAAAAGCAAACAAACAAAATTTTAAATATTCTGAAAGCTTGCAGATTTTATGGGAAGACCAAAGAGGCACTTTTTTCATTTACACATGCATGCCTGTTTCAAGAGCATTTGTGCTAAAAATATTTAAAGACAGCTTACCTTTAGAATTTACAATAGATATCTTGAGCACACTGAACAATAAAATGTTTTATTATTAAATAACTTCTTTATTAAAAAATTAATTAGGTTACAAAACAAAGAGGTTGAATAACATGAAACTTGAAAGGGACAGGCATTTCTGCCTATGATCATACATTTTAAGATTTATATCTAAAAAATTTCATTTGATTATTTTTTATATTTTGAATTATAGAAATATATTTATAGTCATCTTTATGCAATGCATTGCTCAAACTGAACTTTAAACATAATTTATCTTGGATTTTCTTTCTTTTCTTCCGGGACAGCATATGTAAGCAAAATTTGAAAATGGGACACAATATTTTGATTTATAAAGATTTTTAGCAGTATCAATATTGCAATTCACAATTTAATATATCTGAAGTCAAAATTTTTGAGGAAATGAATTTATTTTAGAAGAAATTTACTAAAAGTAAAATAAACAAGAAATTTAAAAAGTAATTTATGCAGAAAAGTTTCCAAATTGAAGAAGAAATGAAAAAAATGGAAGACTTATAATCTAGAATGAAAAAAGGAGAAAATTAAAAATGACAATATGGTTGAAGCTGGGAAAATATAACATGATATTGAATTAATTATTTCAATTTAAATAATTTGAATGGAATATGAAAAGAAAAATAAATAATGCATGAAATAATTCAACACATGGCAATTCTCCATGAAACTCCCCAGAATCAACCATATTCAGAAAATTAAAAATATTTGCACTGCTGTTGAAAACATTTACCAGAAATTCACTATCTCAAAATGAATGCGTAGTTGAAAATATCCTTATAAATATGTAACACTCTGACTATCTCTGTTAATAACAAATGGCTATTTTAGGCCTAGTATATGCCAAACAGATAAGAACTCTCACTGTTACTCACCTTTTTTCTTTTCACAACTTTTTCTATTCCTCATTACACACTTATTATTCTTCTTAAAATTCCTGTTTATATACATCTAAGTTTTATTTAATTTAATAACTTTAAAAAAAATTTTAATTTCTTTCTCCAACTTGCACTTTTTTTAAAAATTAATTTTTAAACATATAGTTTTCCAGTAACCAAAACTTAATTAGAACTACATTAATTCAAATAAAATTCATCCAGTTTTCTTAACCAGATGATTTCATTTGATGATTCTTCGTATCATTTTGCTATGACACATAGTGATGTAAAATTATAAAATTAAAAACCAGTTTTCTTTTGCATTACTGAAAAAGTTCTTTAATCTGAATTTGTGAATATAAAAGAAAAATTCTAATTTTACCCAATAAGCTGTCCTCTTTTATTACGAATTCAAAAATGTGTGCAGGCACATAAACGCCCAAGGCATGGTCCTCAAATATAAGAACGGTTTCACAGTCTGAACCTATGACAGACAAATTATTTAAATGAAGAATATGGATATAGAAATGTTTTAAAATTACTACAGCAATGAAGAAACATATATTACATATGCATTACAGTTTAACCCATTACCTGGCAAAAATGAATTTGCATAACACTTACTATAGTTATATGTAGTTTTAAATTTTTAAAGCTATCGTCTATAATTCAAAAGGCTTATAATCTCTAACATCTGATTTATGTACATAAACAATGATACTATATAGCTGAAGACACAAAAATTTCAAAAGAAATAATCTTCTTTTGTACATAAAGCACATAATTGTTCAAAGTTCATCAAAACATGTGGGAAAAAAAAAAAAAAAAAAAAAAAAAAGATTGGCAATATATTCCTTTAACCTATCTAGATCATGCAGTAAGCAATATAAATTTAAGTCTAGATTCTGGAATTGATAATAACAACCACGAACCTATAATTTGGTTTATTTACTTTTTAATAAACACAGAAAAAGATTGCTAGTTTTATTGCTTTCAAAGCGTTTTATACATTAATGACATTCGTACGTGATGTATATGTTTCATTTTATTTTGTGTATGATTGCTTTCATTCACAATCAATGCTTCATTCCTTTTATTCAAATACTGCATTTCTTCATTATTTTCTATAAAAATAACTTTAATCTTTTAAGTGCTATAAATCCACATATACATTCACATATAATCAATGAATATAATAAATAATATGTTTATAAGCTGAAACACACACATAACTGGTAATTAAGTTTTTTTTTTTTTTTTTTTGCTTTCATGCTTATATTTGAACAAAATTTCTAGTATATGTAGCTGGAAGACAAACTTATGCAATTTCCTAGTTCATAACATTTAGACTTTACTGGAATTTCAAAAGGATTTGGGGGACAAAAAGTAGAGACTATTCTTAAATTCTTAATCTACAATTTATGAGTGGAAAGTTTCAAAGATTAGCATTAAAATTCAATATCGTGAGCTGGAGGCTGACTTTTTTTATGGGAAGACAAAAACTTTATAATGATATATTTGTAATGGTGCAATAATCTACAGCATAATATATTTTTATTGGTTTTATCCAAGTCTATAAAGAAAACAGCTACTGTAAAATATATGCCAAATTTCATTTATCGATCACAAATGAGATACTATTTCTTGATTAAATAAAAAAAAATTATTTCTTAAAAGACTAAAAAGAATTAAAATACTAAAAGCAATGTAAGAGTACAATCCTAAGAATACTTGTAAAATACAATAAAAGCTTGATTATCCAGAAAAGCTCAGGAATTGCTGAATGTGAATACAAGAAAATTTCAGTGAAATTCAAATGCTGCCAATCATGAAGGTGCAGATGCTGTCAAACTTGCACCAATCATTCTGGTTCAAATGTTAAAAGAACATACATTCCTTTTATTTAGCTGGATAATCAATGGATAATACGTATAAAAAATTTAATTGCTTATCATAACTTTCCATATTGCATTTCCATTGTTTATTCCTTTTCAGTAACACATAATGTCCATTGATGTACACCTTCCCTAATGCCACGATTTCATAACTTTGAAATGCATGCTGTTACAGAAGACAGTTTTCAAAATGCGAGGTAAAAACATGTAAAGAGCAATTAACTCTTATACTTCTTTACAAAAACTTAATGGATTTATAAAGAATTAATCAGGTTTACATAAAACCAAGTCAAAGACCTAATGAATGAAAGAGTGTTGTAATTACTGGCATTAAATCCCACTATTTGACAAAAGTATTCTACATATACCAGGTGGCCATAATTAAACTGACAGTGCTCACAGTGTT